GGTCTTAGTTATACCCACAAAATGATCTTTTTACATGTCACAAGTGCTCATATTCTCAGCATCATTACTGCAGGCACGGATGATATACCATGAATTACATCCAAAATTTTGTTCAAAAGAATTTAATACTCATGCAATGGTTTTTAAATAACTACGATGCAGTGAATTGCATAAAGTCTGACTGTGAACACCGATTGATGTAGAGATTAGGGTGCAACCTCCTCTTCCTAAGAAGTACGAAATGTTGCACAAAGACCACTTAGATATTCAACTGACCAATTGTACTTGCTACTCCTTACTAGAATTATAAACACTCCTAGTGGTCCAAGTAAGAGAAAACAACATGCCAAAATGAAAATTCTTATTGTGTTCCCGCAAAAAAAAAATCTTATTGTGTAGATGAACTAGCATGTATGATATTTTTTCTACCGCAGGCCGATTTGCCGCACCGTGACGGATGCGGTGCACGTGTTGGACGCCATTGTTGGCTATGATGAGCTCGATGGGGCAGCCACGAGCGCAGCTTCCAAGTACATCCCTCATGGTGGATACACGCAGTTCCTGAGGACAGATGGACTAAACGGGAAGAGGATCGGCGTTCCTAATGGCTTCTTCAGCTATCCAAATGGCAGCGTGCAGCACACAGTTTACCAGCAACATCTCAACACAATGAGGTACTATTTACATTTCTTTTCTTTTATAACAGCAGATAAATCATTCGGCATCTGCAATGTTTGTGAGATGCGCATTGTCCAAATAATTGCAAGGTTTATTAAAAAAATTACATCAACCCATGAGCTATATATGATACCACTTAGAAAAAAAAGGAAAGTATACCACCGGCCTATACGTTGACTCTACATCATATCATAACATTTTCATTTTGTTTCTTTTTTAAGGAAACAAGGAGCAAACGTGATTGAGAACCTCCACATAGAGAATTTAAATGTCATCCTTGATACCCTTAACAATGGCCAAGAGATTGCATTAGCAGCTGAGTTCAAGTTGAGCCTCAACTCCTATCTATCAGACTTATCATATTCTCCAGTTCATTCCCTTGCAGAAATCATAGCCTTCAACAATGCACATCCCGTTGAGGTCAGCTTAGTTCATAATTAACTACAATTTTGTTACTGTGACACACGTTATCTTTGTAGTTACGTTTTCAGCTAAACTTAAATTGTGAGGTATACATTTGTGGCAGGAAAAGATGGATGAAATAGGGCAGATCATCTTCCTGGTAGCCGAGAACACGACCGGCATCGACGTCACCGAGAGAGTGGCGATCAATAAGCTGAACAAGTTGTCGGCCGATGGGCTTGAGAAGCTGATGAGGGAGCATGAGTTGGACGCGATCGTGACTCCCAACAGCGCCGCGTCACCCGTGCTTGCCATAGGCGGCATGCCAGGCATCACCGTGCCCGCCGGGTATGGCAAGATGGGGGTGCCGTTTGGTCTCAGCTTCGGCGGGTTGAAGGGGTACGAGCCGAGGCTCATCGAGATGGCCTATGCGTTTGAGCAGGTTACCATGGTCAGGAAGACCCCCGCGTTCTTGCCATAGAACAGACAAGAGAAAGGTGGTGTTGGGATTTATTTTGTTTTGCTTCAGAATATTTATGTATGTCCATGTATGGTGTGATCATCTTCCGCAGATTAGTTGACAAACATTTAGATGCTTTTGGGTCCATGGCCTCCACCTCTTCCTTCACCTTCACCATGGAACATTGCCAAAGAATTTTTCTAAACATATACTCCCTCCATCTTGTAATGTAAGACGTTTTTGCAAGTTAGCGTCGTGGGACTGAGGAGGTATCAAAAATTGGAAGAAAAAAGACTATGACTTTTCTTTTTCCTACATGAATTCCCACTCATTATGCACTATTTGAGTGGCTGGAACAGACATACTCATGGAGCATTTGACAAAAGCCAAAAGCGACTGCCACAAAATGGTGCATTAGAATAAATTATGACGAGCACTCGCCAAGCCACTAACCACGCTGACAGCACCGTCAAGCTCAGCTCAGCTAAGCATGGCTTGGCTGCGGCTGCAAACTGCTGCCGCCGTCCTCGCTCTGACGGCCATCGCCGGCGCCGCATGCAGCTTTGAGTTCCACGAGGCCACCATTGACGCCATCCAGCTCGGCTTCCGCAACGGCAGCCTCACCTCGGCCGCCCTCGTCCGGTTCTACCTGGACCAGATCAGCCGCCTCAACCCGCTGTTGCACGCCGTCATCGAGGTCAACCCGGACGCGCTCTTGCAGGCGGCTTGCACCGACGCCGAGCGCGGCCGCGGCCAGCCCACCGGCGCCCTGCACGGCGTCCCCGTCCTGCTCAAGGACAACATCGCCACCCGCGACGCGCTCAACACCACGGCCGGCTCCTTGGCGCTCCTCGGCTCCGTGGTGAGGCGGGACGCCGGCGTGGGGGCCCGGCTGCGGCGCGCGGGCGCCGTGGTGCTCGGCAAGTGAGTAAATTGCTGAAAGCCACCACATTTGTGGCACGGATACTGCAAAGCCACTACTATTGCCGAAAATTTCAAAAAACCACCACTTCCTCGGCAAGTGAGTAACAAAAAGCACTAAACGTGCTTGAGCCGCGATTAACTGAGAATCTGACTTGTCGGGCCCACCTGTCGGAGCCACGTGGCAAAGGGGAAACGGAATGGCGGAAACGGCCGTTAGGACACCATGCCGGCCCTGGTGCTCTCATTCCCCTCCCTCTCTTCTCTGTTGCGCGCGCAACCATGGCAAGTACTCCCTCCGGCGATGTCGAGGGTGGTGACGACGGCGGCTCCAGATCCGGACGGAGTCGCGGGCGGGACCTGCTTGGGGTCGACTATGAGTCGTCCTCCTCAGAGGGCAGCCCGCTATCGCCGTGGCGCGGGCAGAGGGCGGGTGTGGCGGCTGCGGGGGCGGCGGTGGCTGCGGGGGCGGCTGCGGCTGCAGGGGCGGTGGCGCCGCCTGCTGCTCCATTTGGATCCAGATCCATTCAAGCTGAAGGCGCGGGAGACCAACCCGATGAGGATGAGCCACCATCTTCTTGCCGTGCAGGCAAGGCTACCGCTGCGGCGCGGAAGCCGTCGGCTGCAGCAGTCGTCCCTACTAACGCCGGCGACGACACGTACGGCTTCTATCTCCTCCTTCTGCTTTCGTTTTATGATTTGATTTTCGTTCTTCAGGTTTAGGTCGATCTAGGGTTTGAGTACAGATTAGAACCTACAATTATTTTGTTCTCCAAATTTTGTGCATATTTACATTGTTAGGATTGCAGTGTGCTTGTGTTGTATAAATTTAGGTAATTACACTGTTAGGCTTACATTCCAGTAGTACAATGTGTTGTTCAAATTTATGTTATAGTAACTTGTACATTTTAATTGGTATTGTAGGTCGAGCTATGAGCAGTGGGACGTGCATATTGATTTTGAAGGGATTAAATACCTCAGGACAAAGTTCTTTAAGAAAGACATAAGATATTACAATCTTATGTATGTGATGACAATGGGTATAGTTTTTCAGACTGCCTCTATTACATGAGCTGTGGTGGAATAGGATTGGATGGTTTCAAACTGCTTGACAGTCAGATGAAGGTGGATGAAATGCTTAGGCAAAACCAGGACATCAGGAGGATCACATTGTCAGTTACTAAGGGCAAGAGGCAGCAGGCAATTGTTGTGTCTCCAGCAAAGAAGGGAAAGAGAAAGGCAGCAGAACTAGTTCAGATATCTGATGAAGAATATAGCAGTGATCCTGATATAGTGTTTGCAGTCAGTGAAGATGGTGTGGCCCATAAGGAATCTGGTGATTATGTTGGTTCAAGTTCAGGCCGAGGCACAAATGAGTTTTTGTTCTTTGGCACACAGCAGAGTGTAAATTACCAGCCCATCCAAACTATGCCACCTCCCCAGACAGAAGCTTATGATGAATACCATAACTCTCAGATAGAAGACAGTGCCAATTATGCAGACATGGATCTTGATTCAGAAAGTGAGGAGGAAAATAGCTCTAATGAAGATAGTGCTGACCTGCAGTCAACTGTAGCAGATATGAAGAAGGCAGCACTGCACTTTGAGGGTGACACAGAACCAGAGGACATTTATGATGTTCCTGAGGAGCAGGAAGAGGAAGAGCACAGTGAACAAGCTCCAAATGTAGCTGAAGAAGAACATTTCACTGAAGATGGAGTACTGCAGCAGCCTGTGCTTAGGATTGGAAAGAGAGTGGGGCCAACAACAAGAACACACTCATCAGCCAATGATCCAATTGAGCCTGATTAGTTTCCCTCAGGTGATGAGGATGAAAATCTTGGTTTTTTGGACTCAGAGGATGATGATGGCAATGAGCCTATGTCTTTTATTATTCCCTCGGGAAGGAAAACAAGAGCAGAGAAGGCAAAGCCAAGAAAATGGTATGATGAAAGCAGACTGAATCCAGAGTAGCAGTTTTGTTTGAAGCTATGTTTCAAAGATGTGTACCAATTTAGGAGTGTTCTACTTAACTTTCACATCAAGCAGCTGAGGTCTTTCAGATATCACAGGAACTGCAAAGACAGGGTCATTGCTTGGTGTGACCACAAGGACAAAGGATGTCCTTTTTATATTGTTGCTTCTCAGATCAAGAATGAGCAAACATTCTGTGTAAAGAAGTTTAGAGCAGAACATACTTGCCCAACTAGTGACAAACATAGTAAAGTGAGCTCAAAGTGGCTAGGAAGCACTATCTTAGAGACAATTAGATCAGACCCAAACACAACTATGCCAGCATTGGTAGACAAGGCACAGAGGAAATTTGGAATTGAAGTTCCAAAGATGATGGCATGGAGAGCTAAAAAGGTAGCAAAGGAAATTGTCCTAGGAGATCATAAGAAGCAGTACCATAGGTTGACTGATTACATTGAAACAGTTAAAATATGCAATCCAGGATCTAGATGCATTATCACAACTGTCACTCCAAAAAGCACAAATGAAAACCCACATCCAGGTCCAGATTCCATGGTCTTTTCTTTTGTCTCAATGCACCTAGGGAGGGTTTTCTAAATGGATGTAGACCTTTCATTGGTTTGGATGGATGTTTCATAAAGCTTACAACTGGAGCACAAATCCTAGCAGCTACTGGTAGGGATGCCAACAACAACATGTATCCCATTGCTTTTGGAATTGTAGGAGTGGAGGACACACCCAGTTGGAGCTGGTTTCTCACCCAACTTAAGTATGCTCTGGGAGGCACAGAAGAGGGAAAGTTTGGCAAATACACCATCATGTCAGATAAGCAGAAGGTCAGTGATCTATTTTCTCTTTTGTGCCTTAAGTATGCTCTAATTGTTTATTAGTTAGTGATTGTTTGAACTTAAGGTTGAAACCTAGTTACCTTCTTTTGAAACCAGGGCATGCTAAATGCTATCAATGTTGTATTTCCAAACTGCCCACAAAGATTTTGTTTAAGGCACATTTATGCAAATTTTCAAAGAGCTGGATTTAGAGGTGAAGATCTGAAAAAATGCATGGACAGTGCTAGCTATTCCTACACAAAGCATGGTTTTGATGTAGCCATGGCCAATTTGAAGAATGAGTGTGAGGATGCACGGAGGTGGTTATCTGGTATTCCAGTACACACATGGGCTAGGCATGAAATGGACACCAATTGCAAAACAGACCTGGTGGTCAATAACATAAGTGAGGTCTTCAATAAATATATCTTGGATGTTAGAAACAAACCAATAGTGACAATGATTAATGGAATCAAAGACAAGTTGCTAGTCAGGTTTGATGGAAAAAGAGAAAGTGCAGCAACTTCTAGATGGGAAATAGCTCCAACATATGCAGAGCAGCTGGAGATTAGCAAGAAATATCAAAGAGATTGCAAAGCAATTAGGGCAGGGCCTAACCTGTGGCAAGTAAGCAGTGGGCCAAAGACCTATGCTGTGAACCTTGAGGAGCACACTTGTGGATGCAGGAAGTGGGACATGTCAGGGTTGCCATGCAACCATGGTTGCAGTGCAATTTACAAGGCCAAGATGCAACCTGAGGATTTTGTAAGTCCTTTCTTGAGGAAAGCAATGTATTTGGAGGCATACAAACCAATAGTGTATCCAGTTCCTGGAGAAGATGCTTGGGTCAAGTCAGGAAAACCTGATATTGAGCCTCCTATATTCCACAAAGAGGACCAGAGTGGAAGAAAAGAAGAAAAGAGGAAGAAGGGAAGGTTTGAAGTTCCTAAACCAAAAGATACCTCTAGGATGGCTACAATCAGATGTGGCAACTGTAGGTTAATGGGCCACAGGTTTACTAATTGTGGACAACCTTTGAGGCCTGATCTCCAGCTGAGGAAAAATAGAAGCATGGTACATATTTCTTAATCATTGTATCTGATTTAGCTTATTTAGATTTTAATTGTTGATTGTTTTAAAAACTGCAGGAAAAGAGAAGGCAAAAGGCACAATCCTACACTCCACCTGATGCTACCGCTGCTCCTATGGCACCAAGAACTGCTCCTAGGGCACCAAGAGCTGCTAGTAGGGCACCAAGGGCTGCTTTCTCAGCACCAAGGCCAACATCTAGGCCTCCATGTGGAGAAGGGACTTCTTCTGCTGCTGGTACTTCTACATCTACATCAACTGTTGTTGCTGCTGCTAAAAAACAGAGGTCAGTGAGAGGTGGAAGAGTTGGTGGAGCATCTAATGCTGCAACAGGTTCCGGAAAGAAACCTCAGAAATATGCAAGACTCAAGAGCTACTTCACAGCAAGTGGAAATGTGTGATCTTTGATATCTGCAAGTGTTTGCAACTTTTGGGGCTAGAACCCTTGTATCTGTCCTGACAACCTTGGATGTGTGATGATTCGAGTCCTTTGAACCTGTGTTTGAATTGAGGTCATGTGAACCTGTTTAATTTGAGTCCTCTGAACCTATGTGGTAATTTTAGTCCTGTGAACCTATGTTATGTGTGATCAAGCCTTCATGTTGTTGTGGAGTTATGTTGATCTAGCAGAATTATTGTTGGTTTTTGGTGAAGCCTAAATGCTGTTATTGTAGTAGAATTATTGTGGGTTTTGAGTGCAGCCTAAATGCTGTTATTATACCAGAATTATTGTGGGTTTTGGGTCAATCCTAAATGTTGTTATTGAAGCAGAATTATTGTGGGTTTTTGGTCAAGCCAAAATGTTTTGGGTGATCAAAGCCTCGACGACAACCTAAACTACCTTACCATAGAATAGGGGTCATCGAGCCTCGACGACAACCTAAACTACCTTACCATAGAATAAGGGTCATCGAGCCTCGACGACAACCTAAACTACCTTACCATAGAATAGGGGTCATCGAGCCTCGACGACAACCTAAACTACCTTACCATAGAATAGGATCATCGAGCCTCGACGACAACCTAAACTACCTTAACATAGAATAGG